CTCCACAAGATCTTCCGTGAAGGGCCTTTACAGGATCATGCAAGACCTCTTAGAAGACGTTAGCAGGATTTCAAAAAAATCTTCACCGCGCCCCAGGAGCGCGACAACAGCTTTGTGCGAGCCTGCGCAGTCCAAATGCACATGGACATCTCACAAAGGCCTTTTAACGCGAGAATTTGCACCAAAAATGTTGCGCTTAGGAACGCGACAGCCAATAACTTTGTGCAGAAGATGTGACGCGAGAATTTAGAGGAAAAATGGCACGCCCCAGGAGTGCGACAACCATTTGTGCAAGCCTGCACGGTCAGAAATGCACATGGGGACCTCACAAGAGTTGATTATTGGAGATTTTACAGGAAAATAACTGCGCCGCAGGAGCGCGACAACCGCTTTGTGCGAGCCTGCGCGCTCGAAATGCACATGGACATGTCACAAGAGCAATCTTATGCGAGAATTTATCGGAGAAAATGCCGTGCCCCAAATCTGACGCCTACGTTCTGTGCGAGCTTGCGCAGTCTAAACCGAGGTTTACATTTTGTGCGAGCCTGCGCAGTCGAAATGCACATGCATGGACATTTCACAAGAGCAACTTCTTTTGAGAAGTTATTGCAGATGGAGTCCCTGATCTAGCTACGGCTACAATTTTCGTTGCCGGAAGAATCCCTCGGTGAGGACGCTGTTTCGGAAAAACATGTATTTCCCTTGCCATATATTAATCGAAGGAAGTTTACAAGTCAAACTTCCGACAATAAAGGTGCATGGAAAAGCAGAGGCGGGAAGAGTCAGAGAAGAGAAGAGAAGAGAAGAAGAAAGAAGATCAGAGAAGAGAAAGAGTCAGAGGAAAGAAGATGGAGGCGCGCGAAAAGGCAGAAAAACCGTGAAACACTGCGTTTTTCCAATGATTTGTGTCTCCGGAGGGTCGAAAAGTAGACTCGCTAAAGCGGTGGGTGTGGAGCCATCTGGCCAGATGAGAGATGAAAAATTGCACGCCGTTGTGGCGCGAAGCACATTTCGAAGTCAGAATGTAGAGGCCACACCATTTTCGGAGCACTTTTGGAAGTTGAGATGGTGGGAAAGTGCCCGGCGTTGTGGCACGAAGCACATTTCCAAGTCAAAACGTACAACGCACACCATTCCCGGAACACTTTGGGAAGTTGAGATGATGAAAAAGTGCACGCCGTTGTAGCGCGAAGCACATTTCGAAGTCAAAATGCGCAAAGCACACCAGGTTCGGACCATTTTTGGAAAAGTGCACGCTGTTGTGGCGCGAAACACATTTCCAAGTCCAAATGCACAAAGCATCTCAGGGTTGGACAACTTTTGGAAGTTGCCACGTCGAAAAAGTGTACGCTGTTGTGGGGCGAAGCACATTTCGAAGTCAAAATGTGCAAAGCATACCAAGCTCGGACCACTTTTGGAAAAAGTGCACGCTGTTGTGGCACGAAGCGCACTTCCAAGTCCAAATGTGCAAAGCACCGCAGGGTTGGACAACTTTTGGAAGTTGCCACGTCGAAACAGTGTACGCCGTTGTGGCGCGAAACACATTTCCAAGTCAAAATGTTAAAAGCACCACATGTCCGGACCACTTTTGGACGTTCAGATGCCCTTTGCACCTTGTCAAAAGCGAGCAAAACGTGAGGGTTTTGTAGCAGTTTCAAAAGCGTTGGCAAGCGTGGGACATTGAATAAGCCCGTGGCGTCGGAGGGAAGTGAGCCTGACCAGAAAATGTCACGAGTGTAGTTTTTATGTTTGATGGACAGAAAGTGTGATAAACTTAAACATCGGAATGGCAACTGAGGGCTGAAATGTGCAGAGCCGAGGAAAGATAGATGCTGGAGGAGGGATCTAAGATGAAGTATGATGAAGTAAACGTCATTTGAATAATTTCTTGCCATGCGCTCGGGTCTCAAGAGTGATGTTGTGAAGAAAAACAATCCTGATTGAACAGTTGGGTGATCTTCAACTTCACCGCAGGAAATGGCTCAATTGACTTGATTCAATCATATGCAGCAAGAGCTGCATGAAGGTTACAGTTCTTACATGTCACCTAATGAACCTGGTTTTGCCACAGCCGTGTGCTGGGGCTTTGAGGGGGAGAGTGGTGCCATTCCGACATATCTGTGAAGAGCAACCCATTTCTTACGGCATTCAGCTGCCTGAAGGAAGGGCTCCTTTTGCTTTTGGCCATGCTTCGGCCGAGGACTTAATGGCATATCTTCGAGAAGATCCGCATGGACCATTTATAGACTCAGGACATTCAAGTGCATGGGGCTTTGAGGAGGATACTATCAATGAAGATCTTGAGTCGATTTGGAAGGCAGACTGGCATGCCACCTCGTTTTGGGGCACCGGTCGCATTTTCGTTCCGAGAGTTGATAAATTTCTACCATCAAGACAGCCTCCTCGCAGAATCTTAGCTTTCCTGGAAGCCTTCCGTCAGGTGTCTGGATTTGCCTGGGCCCGCATTCTGCAAGCCTTGGAAGGTTTGGGTGAGAAAGCTGCCAGTGAACAGAGAAGAGACCTGCAAGAAATCGTAGAGATCTTCAGCCGAGCGGTCCAGGAGCAAAGTCATTTTGGTGGAGTTGAGGCTCAGATCTGGAGAGGCGGCCACTTGGTCATGGATTCCCACACGGATGGGGCAACCGCCTTGCTGCACCTGAGCTTGACTTTGGGAGGTCATCGGACCCTCCGCGTGGGTCATTTCAAGGAGCGTCATTCACCATATAGACCGCAGGACTCGAGAAGAAGAGGAAAACCACCAGGCGATGAAGTCAGTGTTTGGAATGACGCGGCTTACACAGAGGAGGAGATTTGGGATATACCTCAAAGAAAGGGGAGCGTCTACGTCACATCACCCTTTTGCTTTGAGCATGGGGTCAAATATGAGAGCAACCAGTCAGAGCCAGTATTTGCACTTCAGCTCCTTGCCAGTGCAAGACACACCCGCGATGTTCGGGGGAAGTTGTCCAAGGATGTTCAAGAATTCGAAGCAACTAGTAATAATTTGTAATAATACATGCAGTCAGCTATGCTTTACCACTCATGCCATGTTGTTAAGCTCAGGTGTCGCTTTGCTTTCGCAAACTTATCTGAAGCGCAGCTGGTCAACGGTCAGCGGACTGGAAATATGCGCAAATTGTCGCAAGATTAAGTCTTTCTTTTGTCTGTTTTGTATTGTATTGTGACATCTTGATTTCAAGGATCAGTCCTTGTCATTTCAATCTGTTGCCCCCGGAGATGGTTCGAGTTGCTCAGGAGAAGTTGCTGAAGTTGTGGCCAATGCTCTTGCAACTGCAATGGATCGCTCAGAATTGCGACTACCAACTCTAGAGGAGCAACTTGCCGTGTTGATTGAACACCTTGGCATTCTTGTTTCTTGCAGCTAATTTGGCACCTGGCACATCGCCCTCCAATTCGTGGGCAACCTGGATTCACCTGGATTCACCTGGATTCAATGTATTTGGTTCTACTGGATGCAAGGCATATGTTGAAACTGGAGTGATCGACACAGGTGTTCACTTTTCTCTTGTGATCTCTTGTGTAAATCGAAGGGGCAGGAAATTTCTTCACACACATTCTTTAAGCGAGAATCGTTTTTTTTGAAACGCGCAGAGGGATCTGAGCTTTAGAATGGAAATAATTTTCTTTTGACTGCTGTGTGCTTTGTCAGCTGTTTCTTTGACAGCAGTGCGTTTCTGATGGACGATTTATTGCCTCAAGGTTTTCGGGGCTGATTGCGCTCCATTGAATAGCTGCGAATTTCGCCAAACATGCGGCGCTATGCCAAAAAAAGACCCCGTAGACAACCGGATAGCCCATTTATTGGGTTGAAAGCTCGCCCCCACCACAGCATACCCTGTGCAAACACATGTGAACTGCATCATCTAACACCGGGCCTAACACCCGGGAATGTTGCCAGTGCCATCCTCCCGTCACATCCAAATTCTTGTGTAATGGAAGGCCACCTAGGACCTAAGTGCAACCTGACTGTAACTATATGTAGTCGAGGTAGTCTCAGCCAGTCTCAGCTGCTTGATGCCTGTCTTCACATCCAAGGGTGAAGGCAGTAGAAGAGCAGCTTGCGATTGGTGAGCAGTTTCGCCCCATCAAGTTGCACAGTGAAGTTGAGACCTCAGAGTTTCCCTTGTGGGCATGCAGGGCGCAGGACATGAAAGTGAAAGCGACTCAGCACCTTCATGAGCACGGGATATGTCTTTCAACATGAGATACCTTCGCTTGCAACGGTTTGTGTTTCAAATCTCCACCTAGCTGCGGGGGCCCACCCTGCTTGCTTTCGTTCCTTACCTTGTCCTCCAGTTGCATGCTTGCCCAATGTAAACCAATGTGGGACGCAACAGGACTGCAAGCTACAAAGTTTCTTTTTTGAGGCACGAACGTCCGTTGCAGCTGGGGCATGGCAACACATGCGAAGTACCACGGAACCTTGGCTGAGTTAAGAGATGTTGAGAGCAGACGGTTCAGATTTTGGACTGACTAGGGTGACTATATAGACTTTTGGAGAGGTACTGCGGGGCCTTATTTTCCTTCCTGCCCATATCAGGCCTGTGCATTTGGCGTTGCGCTCTATATTTGGCAATTGGCACATCGATATGGACTTCGCTCAAGACAAAATGGACATCACCCGCGCTTCTTTAAGACAGTTTAAACTGTTTTGCTCCAACTGGCTGGCAAGTGCTCACAGCCTGGAATGTTGCCTGTTTTGCAGCCTTTTGGCATTGAAACAACTTTTTGTTCACGTCGTCAATTCTTCGAAACTATGCGCAGGCCATATTTTGCCTCATAATGACCTATTTCATATACTGTATCTCTATCTCCGTGATAAAGGAAGCCATCAGAGATATCACAGCCTGCCAGATGAGGTCACATACTGTGCACAAATCAAAACGCCTGGAAGATGTGTTTGGTGCTTCCATATCTTCCATGAACATGGAATGTCTTCATCGCAATATATATATAGTTCGTGTTTCCCAGTGTGTTTTTTACGTATCCTGCCTGCCTTCGCTTTCTGCCAAATGGCGGCGACAAGCTTGGATTCAGAGGCGGCACCACATGGTGACTAGTGGAGCCTTTCTGCACTTAGCCTATGAAATCCCTCCCCCGTCCTGTGCCTTCAGGCCAGCCCTTGCGAGATGGCCAAAATATCGGCAAAGGCATTTTGGTATTGTGATAGTTTTGCATCGAATTCGAGACATTTGTTTCAAGTGTTCTTGCTGGAAGGATGAGCCAAGCTCCTCCAGCGAATCATCGACATCGTCAGAGGATTGTCCGCACACTGGTGCAACAAGGGTTCTGAGATGTTGGTATCACTTTTGCTCTCTCATCACTGCTCAAAAGCAACTGTAGGACAGTGGCATGGAGGCTCTGGAGGGTCCAAATGCACGGGTGCCAAAGACACCTCTTGCTGCGCAGCAACAAGGCCATCAAGGCTTGATGGGCATCTGATGCTACCGTTTTCGGTGCTTTCAGCCTCTTTTAGCACATGTATCACATGTTCCTGTTCGGGGCAACGAAGGGCACGGGCCAGAAATTGTCCATTTACAGTCTCCGTCCATGCGTGTTGCTATGCATGTTGCTGCTGCCACTTGGCCAGTTTCGTGTGAGAGGTGAGTTTGAAGAGGTTCCTGCATACAAATCGCTGAAGCCATTTTTTGTACAGTCCATATCAAAGCCCTCCTCCCTCCTCCTCCCTCCTCCTCCTCCTCCTCATCCTCATCCTCATCCTCATCCTCATCATCATCATCATCATCAACGTTGTTTTATTTTCTTTCTTTCTTTTTGTTCGTTCTTCCGTTCTTCAGTTTCATCTTCATGCTCATCCTTCTTTCATCTTCATCTTAGTCCTTGTCCTTATCATTGTCTCTGTTTTTTGTTTGAGTCTCAGCTGCGTTCGAGAAGAATTTTGATGCGTCGATCCTGACAAGAATAAACCGAAAACAAAAAGCACAACTACAAAGCTCTGCCGCTCCTGTGGCTTGTAACCCAAGCAGGGAACCCCACTCGCAAATTTAACAGGCTAGAAATTGATAGAAATTGTCATACTCGCAGTCAATTTCGAAGCACTGATTGTCTTTCTGTTGCACGACCCTCTGCTTGACCCAACATGCGATTCCAAAACATTCCTCGGGCTCTGCTGGAGGTGGCCAATGTGAGTATGCTAAAAAGATGAAAGAGGCTGCCAGCAGAAAACGAAATGATGGAGGAAAAGCAAAGGCCAGGATTCCAGGATCAAAAGCTGTGAAATTTGGAACAAGTTCCTATTATGCTGACAACAGTCTTCTATCAAAAGGCGTGAAGTGAGGGTTGGGGTAGTAGCGCTTTTGTACATTCATACGCTCATTCAATCTCATGCATCCCCAGGTGCTTGCACTCAACAACCTCAAGATGGAGGTGAAGAGTGAAACCAGTGACGACAGCAGCAGTGGCAGCAGCTCGCCAACGAGCAGTAACAGCAGCAGCGACAGTGATGAAGAGGAGGAGACGAGCTACTGGCAAAAATGCAGGGCTGCAATGACACGGTTGCTGCCGTTGCTGCGACAAGACTCACTTTGGCAGCTCACCCAGTATGCCTGGCTTGAGTGCAGTCGATTCAATTGACCTCGAAGTGCTATCATGGAATCCCACTGATTTGAGTTGCATGCATCACAGGACGATGTTTGCGACTCTGACCTAGATGCTGAAGAGGAAGTAGACCAGGAGGTGGAGCTTGGAGGCCAATCTCCGACCTATTCGTTGTGCTGCTTACATTTTTGACGGGTCGAATATTAGAGTTAAGATGCAAAGTGTTCCTTGCTTGTTTTCTGCAAGTCTTCCACTTGCATGAGACTTGACATGATGTGCCTCCAGCAATTTGGTGCAGCCGTGCGCAGTCAAACCGACGACAGGTGACTCAGGCTTGAAAGACCTGATCTTCACGCAGGATGTTTGTTTGTTTGTTTACCTAGTCTTGCAGTCCAAAGGGAAGGTTGGCCAATTGATTAGCCAGCAAAGCTGCTCCAGGAGAAAGTACCTCCTGACGCAAGCTACATCGGGGATTGGACGGGTGCACCGTCCATTGGTTCTTCAGGCGTGGTCTGAATTGCTCAGCTCTTGACCAACTCAGCAGAACCCCTGATGCTTCAACATGAGGCTTCAACCGCTTCGCCGCTGCTTGACTTGAAATTACTGTACTACTTTTACTACTTCCTACTAATCATCCCTTTCTTTCAGTATAGCCTCTTGTGCGTGTCAAACCATGGCCGCGCTCAGGCCCGCGTCATGTGGAACGCAGGCATTGGGAAACCCAAAAAGAAGGCCAGTGCCGAAGGCCGATTGGTGCTTTGTATCGACCAGTTCTGCCCACATTGGCACAAAGCATCCCGTTTTAAAATGGTCAAACTTCAGACTTTTTGGAGGCGACTGTCCATCAATGCAGCCACATCAGGAGGCAAGGTGCATGGAGATGAATGGAGAAAACCTGATCTAGCAAAGTTGCAGGCAGTGGCGTTCCTTCTGCATCCGCAATCACCCATCTCACGACTGCCTGATTCTCAAGTCTTCATTTGTAGCGCTTGCATGTTATCTGACCGGGAGCAAGTGGTAGTGGTGCTGTGCAATTGATGTCAGCAAGGCTAGTTGATCATCCAACGGGATCAGGCACATTCATCATTGCCGCAAGATGCTTCAAGAGCAAGCAGAGCACACCTTGTTTTATGTTTATGTCAAGCACTTTTGCGCTGCGATTGATCCAGGCAAGACCAGAGAGATGATAAAAGTGCTGGACAACTACTACCTCGATCCGCGGCCCAAAGTTCCAATCTTCCCCAAGGCGTGAGCAGTCCGTGAGTCGAAAACCCTAACAAGATCAATGGATTCTTCATACACACATTTGTCACATTTGGGTCATTTGGGGGATCTCTTGAATAGATCTTGGATCATGTAACGACAGGAGCCAGTGTGCCGCAACTTCTATGTGGAGCTGCTGTGTTGGCCGAGCAGGAGCGCTGATTTTTTGTGGTTGGTAATTCCATGCGACATCATGCGGCATGCCCTGAGAGCCTTCAGGTATAGAGACTTTTTCGCGTGTTTGAGGCCTGGGTTCGTTCATGTTCTATCAGACTTTTGTGTTGCACCAGCCTTTTTGAGTTTTTTGTTGCGCTGCGAGGCCCCAGGATGCTACCCGTGCTTGTGGCCACGACGATTGGAGATCCTGCCGTTCTCAGTTATGGGACCTCAGAGATTCGTAGCAGCACTGGAGAAGCATTGGAGCGTCCATCACTAATGGAGCCAGGACTTATATACCACTTCTATACGGGTATGAGTTTCCCTTAGGATTTCAGGGGGGTTAACCCCCTGTAGAGGATGGATTTTCTACAGTTCGAAAAGCACGAATTTGCTTAAATGATGCTTTCGAAGTTCCCTCATTTTTCTACAGAACAACTTTTGGAGACCTCTGAGTCGTAAGATGCTGATTTTCTGGATAGTTTAGGTGCCCAAAATCCAGAAGCATAATATGAGCATATTTGGCTCTAGAAAAAGGGTAGCAATAACTTGAAGTGGTTTACAACATATTTCATGTCGTATTTGCAAGAATATGCAATTCAAGTACGGCGGTGTTTTTCTAAGGAAAAATGCTAAACATAGCTTCTAAAATGCACTTCTTATTATACGTGGCCATTTTTCTAGGATACCAAAATTGGTGTGATGTCTGATAGATTTTCTTGGGTCCCTAATTTATACCGCCTACATTTTCTACTAGAAAAACACATGTGCCAATCGGACCAGGCGAACTGGTACAGGTATCCACTTCTAACATCTTCCAAATTCTAGCACATCTAGCACTGGGACTCTACTGTACCACATTGTACCACAAATGTCGCCAATCCCATGATGTCAGGAAATCCCTGGCAACGAGCTGAAAGAGCTTTGCAGCAACTTGCGGGCAGTCCTGGAGATGAAGGGGTGGATGCTTGGCGCAGAGACTCCCAGTCATTGCCCATTGCTACACCATGCAGATTTCACAGTGCATGTCAGTGCCCGTATCGCATCGCATCTGTAGCTCAAGCAACTCTAAGACATTCTATGACGATGACGATGATGTTATCAGTGCGTAAAGTGATAAAGTGAACATTTGTGTGCTGGATTTCTATGGCTGTTCAGGTTCTACATGGGCCGCATGAGAAGGTCTCGGCGTGAGGCAGCTTGCCACAGTTTGCCACAGCTTGCCAGTCTACAGCCAGGGGTTGCAACTACTAAGGTAACCATAGATATCTATAGATATCTATAGATTAGATCATTGACAATTAATGCTAATTATATGTTGCAAATCTATTAGTTGCTCTCCAACCATTGCAGCCATGCTTCATTCAAGACTTTTTCAGCCAATGCGGGCGTGAGGCCTTTCGGAGCCGCTTCCCGGACGAAGAGGCACCAGCAGCACCGCTCCGAGCTTTGCGCTACACATCTGCAGGAGGCCGTCATGTCTAGAGCTGAGTGCTCGGACGATGAGTTGGCTCTCCGTGATTTGCTCATGTTACAACTGTTACAACACATGTTACATAACTGTTGCTATCTGTTGCTATCTGTTGCTCATGTTTAAGAAGTTCATCATAGTTCATCCATTGGTCCAGTGATGTCCAGTGCTTTCACTGAGGCTGACCTGCGCCCTGCGACCTGGCCGCATGGTTTCAGTTGAAAAGCTTCCCAGTAGCTTGGGGCAATTCTGGAGTTCGCCTACCAGGCCTAACAGCTCGGAAAAATCATCATTGATCAAGATTAATCATCAACATTCGAAGAGTTGCGCTATCCCAATCCATGTTCCACAGCTTATCTTCAGAAGTAACTGCAATTCAGACATAGCATGAAGTAGCGTCAACTTGCTGCTGGTCTTCAAAATGTTTGTTTTCACGATTGGTCACGGCTTGTTCCTGAAGCATCTGAGGATGGGTGGCCGGTCAGTGCTTTGCTCAAGGTTGCTTTCAACCGTCAAAGAGACGGTGGAAATGCGTACTCGAACAAGGTTCTTTGCTGCAATGTGCAAACAATCTTGATCTAGGCCCAGGAGGTGAGATGCATCAGACATGAGCTCACGCACCAATGTTTGCTCATGTACCTCATGTTTGCTTGTATTATATGCGCAACATTACGCAACTTGGTGAGAACTTGCTGGATGTTCGATGCGCTGATCACTATTCTACCGCTATACCAGCGAGACTAAGGTTGTCATCATGGATGAGGTGCCTCGAAGCTGATACAGACATCTTGGCATCGTGCTAAAGTACATAAATTGATCTAAATCTAAATTGACTAACTGCTGGGTTGCACGTTGCGACAGCTGATATGTCCAGGTCCACAACTTGGTGAGATCGCAGACGCAATACGCTGAGCAGCTGGCAAAGCTCCGCATCTCGATTGGTTGGATCATTTGAGCCGTAAAAACTACAGATTGTATAAGGGGTTTCATGGGGGTTTTAAGTTTTAACCATCAAAGATTTCGGAATATAATTGATACATACATATGAGAAATGACAGCTGATGAGGTATTATAGGGGGCTATATGTCTCATTTCATTGGGGATTCTAAAAACAAATAATGATGATTACCATTTGGAACCCTGTCATTGCGTCACCGTGTCACCCCGATCTGAGGCAGCTTGCTGTCGGGAGCGAGTGGTACAGTCTTGGCAGGCTTTACTGGAACGCCTATTCTCAACAAGGTTCATGGTGCGGCTGTGATTCTACATGTTTCTACACGGCAGAACGACTTTGTTAAGCATCTGGAACTGCAGCATGTTTGCCGACCTTCGCAGGCCATGGAAGGTCGGCAGCTCTTGGATATCATCAAAGGGGCCTCAGCTCCTCGTGGTGATGGTGGTTTCCTCTCATCCTTCCCTATGCGTCCAGTGTCTTGATTGATCTTGATTGATCTTGGCTGTTATGGACATAGATCTGGATGCGCATTGCAACCCCACAGTCGCTGTGCTGATCGCAGCCAGATCCAGATCCTAGGCCGGGTTATTTCCGACCCTTGATGGCAGCTGGATGCAGCTGGAACAATTATGAACAATTGAGACAGCAGTTGTTGGCAGAACAGGCGACTGCGCGCCAGTGCGTGCCACTGCGCGCTGCGCCACTGAGGACCTCCTTGCCTCGAGGTGTGCCTGATGCCCTGCTGACTCCAAACCTGCGGCGACAGTTTGTGCGAAAGGCACCCGTCTAAAACTGGTGTCACAGACGGAGGATTGATGAGTGATGAATGGTTAGCACTACGTACACACACATACATATTTCTTTCTTTATTTATTTATTTACTGTATTCATTTATTTTTTAATTAATTAATTAATTTATTTATTTTTTTAATTTAATTATTAATATATATATTTTTTATTTATTTATTTATTTCTTCATTTATTTATTTATAGTGGCACTTGCAAATATAGATGGAACAGAACTCACATACACCCATTGTGTTGCTGGGAACCACTGTAAGCCAGAAACTGCTCAGGTGACACTACTCGCGGAACCTTTGAAGCGCTATGATGCAAAGCGCCAGATCCTTGCCTCATTCTTCAGTCTGCCAATGGCTGCCAATGTGGATTTGATGCCCAACATTGTACTGCTGCAAGGCTTTGAAATGTGTTGTTCATTCGCATTCTTCCCTGAATTCTGCCTTTATGTAGGCACTCTCATGTCCTGTTCTTTGACTTGAGGAAGGGGTTGCCGGAGAGAAGACTTCGAGCTTATTGCAACCTTTGTGCCTGCGGCTCAGTCACGGCATGCCTGGCTTGCATAGCCAAAAACGAAGGCGGTCTTTGGAGCTGAACGTTGTTTTCAACCAGGACATCTTTTTCCATGGGTGGTTGCCAGATCTGCCCTATGCTGGCAATATTTCCTTGAAGGTAAGCCTGTTGGAAGGGCCACATTTCACCATGTCGTTTCTGCCTACCTATATACATCCTGCAGATTGCTAATCTTTAGCCTGAGCTCAATTTCGTTTCTCTTCAATTTCAAATTTCTGTTCTGCTTCCTCCTGGTTTTTAACATTCAGCTACACACATGGCTAACATGCAGCTCAAGCTGGTCCAACTTCTAAGATATGATGCCCAGCATGTTACTCAAGATTGGTTGCTAATGGTTGCTAAGTTGCAACTCCTAGCTGGCCACTTCCCAAACTTTGCCTAGTCAACATTTTACCCTGCTAAGGTTCATTTTGGTAGCCTTCACGATGGAAAGAACGGAAGCAAGGCCAGACCATTTACCTCAATAGGTAGCAGTAGTTTGCTGCTCTGATTTTTACATGTTGTTTAGTTTCGGGCAAACCTAGTGGACGCCCTAGCAAAGGCAAACAGTACGGTCAAGTGAGGTTACATGTCATACATGGTCCAGCCCAAATCTTGTTTCGCTCAATCAGAAAAAACATGTTCACATGATGTAGGCATACTAGGCAAAAAGAACATGCTGCACCATTCTAGATGCAAACCAGTTGCACACGCTTGAACAAGCACACAGCAGAAAGGGTTCGCCGAAGTTTTCCGTAGTGGGTATCTCCGTCGAACTCTCGGGGTCAAGGTCCTGATATGTCTTGATGCTGTGTGTCCATTGGTCGATTTCATCTGGTTTCATTATTTAATGGGCGATTGCGTCCCCTGTCACAGAGCCTGGAATGCAAGGAGAGAGTCGGTATATACTACGCAGGGCAAGTACTTTGCTTGTGGTGTGCTGTAGATATGAAAACGTCAATTCACTGTGTGCTAGGCGCGTGTATTGGCAAACATGGAAGCTTGTGCTCCTAAGCTCTATGCCATCGCAACGGATGTGGTTGATCATGAGGAAAAGGCCATGCACTGCAATCAGTGATGATGCGAAAGTGGTGTTTAATCGCAAAAGCTGTGGAAAGATAGACAGTTGCATCAGGCTCTCGTTCTTGTTGCTCGCAATTCTGGGCTTCTTGCCTTCTTGGAGCATTTGAAGGTTTTTTGGCTGAACCGGGCTGAACCGGGCTGAACCGGGCTATCCTATTATATCAGATTCTATCATTTTCATTCATTTTCTGTCCGTTTGTTATGTCATGTTTTTCCGCGCGGCGGGTGATAATACGGAGCCACAGAGCGCGCGTTTGAACTGAGGAGAGGGCAGCCACAGCGGAAAAGCCCTTCCACGTCGCAACCATTGATGAGTTGGCTGAGTTCCTTGGTTCAAACTTTAAAACAGGATCACAAGGGATCACAAAAACTTTAGAAGCTCATTCTGAAGCCTGCACAAGGTTCAACTCACCTGGAAATCTGCGAGGTGAACTGTTTCGCTCCGGCCTGAATTTAAAGGGCACCACATGGCACTACATTTCATTGCCGTTTGTAGTTTCAAAGTAGACCAGCAACCGAACATCTTGCATTTCCACTCTGTTGAGGTGTGTTGGTGGCGGACGCAGCTCAATGCTCTGAAGGAGTGAGCTTCTTTGCGGTTCGTCGGTTGCACCTTGCTGATGTGCCAGTCTTCTCCCTAGTTTCAGAGGAGGGGTTGGTTGGGCAATGATGTTCGGCTGTCACGAAAGCCTGGTTGCCCAAGGTAACTCCCAGTGCTTTGGTGCAGTCTGTTGGCCGGGCAATCCGTCCCTTGTCTTTGCTCATGGCAGCGACGGGAAGATAACCAGCCCAGGTTGACTTGAAAGTTGGCATATGAATGGGAAAGGATATGAAAGGAAGGTTCAAATGAACACCTTGGATCTAACATGATCTAACAAAGATAGTGAGTTCAGCCGCATGCGTTTCCTACCGTACTGTAGCATTGCACGTTGGTGATTCTTCGCGACCAAGTCGTGCTGACAATTGATTGGTTCCGCCCATTGACCGACAGTCGCTTTGAATGGAAATCATGAGGTAGAGCAGTTGAACACACTGACTGTAAAAAGGTAGCTTCAAGTTGTGCACTGCACAGTTTCTAAGGAGGCACGCCATGCCAAGCACCTCCGGTATAGTTGGGAGTTTGGCGAGAAATAGTTACTTTGAGGGAATGATAATGGTCATAGAGTCATAATGGTCTCAAGTCTGCGACCTTGTTACAAATCCATATTAGTCTCCAAAAAGGCTTCTACCGATGTCTCTCCCAAGCTATCAAGAACACATTTCTTTTGGAAGATATGCGCAACTATCCGCCGTGGAGAATCGGTCCCTCGAGGTATGTATGGCCACAAGGGCTTGCTGGAGCATGAGCAAACAGTCACAACAACGATGTGGGTGGCAGTTCTGCCTCGTTGGATGCGCTCTCCCCTTTCAGCTTGGGCATTTCGTGCACAAAAACGTCGTGAACCAGAGGACTGGGCCACTGGGCGACTGGGCGAGTTGGCGAGTGGGGTCAGCAAGGTACCCAACTTCTGTTGTCTCTGGGACGTCGGGTTCTCAGGAGATGGAGCTTGGTGCCAGGCGTTTGCTCCGATCAGTCATGGCTGTTGGCCTGAAGGATCTTCCAGCACTGAAAGCTCGTACCCTGGCAGAGATCCTGGCAGCACTTTGCTGGTGCTGAGCTGGTGCTGCTGTTGCTGCTGGTTGTGGCAGGTGTCAGTGCAAGAATAGCCACAAGTGACCATTCCTTGCCTTCTTCAGCTTTGGGTTTTCATGCGGTGTTTTGTGTATCAGCGCCTCCACTTTGTAGGTAGGCGGCTTTTGCCCACTTTCTCGGCACTGAGGCATCGATAGCTGCGGTGGAGGAGTGGCAGATTCTACTGGGCGGAAAGCTCCTCTGACTCCTTTTGCCATTGCAGCATTCCTGGAGCAAATCGGGTGTCCTGGCTGAAGGTGTGTATGAGAGAATTAAATGATAGATGGTGAGGGGTTGCGACCCAAAGACAGAGGCTTTCCAGAAGCCAAGGATGTGGGAGGAGGCAAAAGTGGCCAGACAACGTGTAGGCAGCCGTCCACAGGCACAGGAGTGAATCACAGTGATGAACTCGGCATGAGTAACGATTGAAACAGCTGCCATGCTGCATCCAGGGGCGCCAGAAGCAGAATCCATCCAGAGGAGGGATCGGAAACTCCATGAAAAAGAAGGCACTAAATCTGTGAGTGGAAATTCGGCATTTCGTGTATATATATATATATAGTATGACTGAGATAATCTGAGATCTGAATTGAAGGTGACTCCTTCGAAGCTGTTTGCCCCAAAACTTGAGATGAAGAAGGAAGAGACGAAGGCTGAGTTCACTGCCCTGACATTGCACATGTTTGATTGGACCTCAAGTGCGAAGCACGTTGAAGCCAGAACCGGATCACCACGAGGTCAAGGCAGAAGCGAAGGTCAAGAAGGAGTTGCCACCGCAAAAGATCAAGGTCTTCAAGACACTTGGAGGAAATTGCAACGCTCTTACATCTTTGAATCTTTGAAGCAATCCTCTCAAAGGGGCCCAGTTCATCCTTTTATGATTGATGAATGGATCATTTGCGCATCTAAGGATTCCTGGTTCGAGCTCAAGAGCCCGACAAGTTGCAACCCCTCAGGTCATTCTGGCTGGAGTGTCTCGCGATGGTACTGGATGCTCCACAATGCCACATTCGTGTGACCCTCAGGCTGCAGGTTCCAGTGTTGAAAACCGACCATTGGCTGCGCTCCTGGATGAATGCAAGAAGGCCAGTGGCGCAGAGGGAGGCCTGGCTTGCAATGCGTCCGTACGCAATCACAATTAGGTAGTCAGAGTTGTGCACGCAAACATGAGACCCTCGCAGCCCTCCAATCTGAGCCAAGGACAACCCAAAGATGAAGCACAACCGCAGCATGATGATTTTGCTACTGCCTGAGATTATCACTCCGCATCACTCCGCAAATTGCTGCAGAATATGGCATAGTATGGCAACGTGATGGCACCATGGTAAACTCCCAGCGCTTTGCTGTGTCCAGTGATGTCCAGTGTCGGCCAAGGTGTGGGAGAGGGATCCCCTCATCCGAGCCTTGCAGTGCTTGTACTGTGCGGAATCTGCTACTGATGCAGAGAAGCGGTTGCATCTCAGCCCTTGGTCTGCAGATGAAGAGGACGGAAGCTGCTTGAGTGAAGCAGGAGTACCGTATTGCTTGAACAATCTCGGAACAGCCCAGAAATGCTCAGATTGCTCATTGCAACCCCGCACTGCCTGTTTTTATGCGAACACCCACGTAGCCTCAAAAATGGGCCATGGATGGCCATGGGACAAAACAATAGTTATGACATGTTATGAATTCAACTGGTTTGGGGCTGCTGCAGGCCTTGAAGAACTTGTCCCATTCATCACGCGAGTTTGTACCTGCCAAGATCCAAGTCAGTCAAGTCAGAGAGAGATGACTCTATTTGCTGCCTCTTGTTTACATATTGTTGTTGCACAGTCTTTATGCATGTATACATACTTTTCACCTTATAGATTGTGTTGCATTGGCTCAAGAAACACGCTGTGCGGATTTGTGGCGTATCCCGGTTTTTAGCTGTTAACTACAGGTTATCAGCCGTATCGCCAAAGGTGATCGCTGGTTTCCTTGTTTCGCACTTTTCGTTCTTTCTCCTCTAGGTTTTCGCCATGTCAAATCCCCCTGCGTTGCCTGCCCCGGGCGGGAACGCCACGGCTGCTTTAGCACTGGCGGACACATCACAACCGGAGGAAATGGTGATCCACTCAGGTGCGGCTACGACAACAGAAGGTGATATGAGTTACTTGGATGAAGAGTTTGACCCATGCCGTCAAGATCCACGCAGGAACATGCCAGGTGTCTTAGACTCAAGCGTTGAAATCAGTCAACTCAATACCATCAACTTTAACAGTGTTGATCAGCGTACCGCCCACGTGGCAGTGGTACAACAAGGCATTGATCCAAACCTGGCGAACCAGCTCATGGCTGCTCAACAGCAGGCATTGCAGAGTGAGGCGAATGTACGTCACTCTGAGGTCATGGAGCGTCAACGTATGGAGCTTGTGAGTGAAGCTCGAGATCAGCTTGCAAGCGTCGAACAACAAGCAGCTGAAGAAATTTCCAGGAGAAACCTTTTGTTGAACGAGCAGGCCGCCCAGGCGATGAGTGAGCATAAATCTGCTCAACTGCAGGTCACAGCGCAGGATCATCGCATCAGGGAACTGAGTGCCGAATTGACTCACGTGGTCAACAATGCAGGTGTTTTGACATCGTCTGCGGAGAAGTCCAATGCTGATCTGCAGGCAGCACGTTCAGAACTTGCAGAGTACCGCACTCAGATTGATGCAATGAATCAACACGCTTTGAACATGCATAAGCTGGCCGAATCTCAGAAGAAGGACTTCGAGGCGGAGATTGAGAAGCTTCGGAAGGAGCAGAGAGAGCTCATCCGGAATTTAAAGTCTCAACCTCTGGAGGGAACTCCTGGACTTATGATTCACTACGGCTCAGGGAAACCCATTCCACAATCCTCGAAGCCCAAAGGTCCAACCATTGTAGAGTTAGCTTCGGGAAGCAAGAAGCCTCAGCATTCATCAGATGCTGACGACGAGCATTTTCAGGCAGAACCTTTGAAGCCACCGGGATTACCCGGCGGTGGACCTCCAGGAGATGACGATGGTGATGATGAATCTGACGACAAGAGAGGTCGCAGAGACAAGAAAGACAAGAAGAAGGACCGCAAGACTAGTCGTGGCCGCTCGCGACGACGACGTCGAAGAGATCCTTCATCCTCACCTTCATCATCAACATCCCCTACGTCATCAAGTTCGGATTCTGAGAGATCCTTTACCCGAAAGGTCAAAAAGGCCTTGGAGCGTTCTAGGACTAGTGATACTAAGGCCAAAGAGTCTGATAGGATCCTTGTACCTAAGTTCCCTCAACCCGAAAATTATAGGAATTGGAGAATCCGAGTAAGGGATGCCATAATTGCTGCTTCTGCTAAACCCGACCTAGCTTTTCAGTGGGTGGAGGAAGTGTTCAGGACAGACCAGTCTGCCGATGCCTTGAAGGACTCAGGTAAATTCGTGACCCTGGACGCAAAGCTCATGTCTTCGCTCACCAACATCTGCGAAGGGGACTTTGCACGGCAACTTGACATCTTTAAAGAAGAACAAGCCAAGTCAGGGACACCAGCTAGGGGACGTCAAGCATTGCTCATGATTCATAAACACTTCAGTACTAGTAGGAAGCATGGTGCAGTGTACGACATTGAGGACCTCATGGCTGTTACCTTAGTCAATGATGATCTCAGAGGTTTCATCACTCGATGGGACGCTGTGATCGCTGGAATGACTTCCGAGCCTGACATGATGTGGAAGCAAGCCTACTTTCACAACGCCATCAAGAACTTCAAGCCTCTCTCTCATGATCTGGCTGTGTATGATCGCACACCGGAGGGGGAACCCAACCGCTCTTATGATTTTCTCATGAAAGCTGCGAGGGACTACCTTGAGAGAAGACGTCTGGAGAAGATGAGACAGGCTACCAAGAAGTCCGTTTCAGGCAAAAGAGATGCAACGCCAGCACCCACGAGGCCGACATCCACGGGAAAGCCCACTGGCATTTGCTATGACTTTCAGGCCGGCAAATGTACCAGGGGAAAGGATTGCCGATACCGACATGAAAAGGCAGACAAAGGAAAAGGCGGAGGTAAGAAAGGCAAATCTAGGTCCAAGTCTAGGGGCGATGGTCGATCTTTGTCTCCTGGATCTAGGAACCAAGTGTGCAAGTTTTGGAAGGCAGGTAAGTGTCAACGAGGTAATGACTGTGCTTTCCAACACCCACCAAAGCCTGCAGCTGCATCTACCAAAGATGACAAGCGTGGAAAGAGCCAGAAAAAGAAGAAGAGGAATAAGAAGAAGAAGGGCGATCGCTCCAGATCGTCAAGTCGAGGTTCCAACTCCTCGAGAGGCTCTCAGAGTCTCAAGGACAAAGGGGGAAAACCATCTTCCTCTGGCTCAGCTGCAGTTTGCCTGATGCGCGCTCTGATGATGGTCGCAGTCGTCAACCCTTCGACCAGCACTCATCGCGTGCCGGAAGGCATCGCCTCTCCGCATTGTTTCAACCAGCATTTTGCCATGCCAGTTACACCCAATCGCACTGTTTCATTTGGGGGCCACGATGAAATTTTCGAAGTTCCCATTGAGCAAAACTGTAATTTATATCCGTGCCAAGCCAAGCAACGAACTTTCAATCCAGTTCGCATCACCAAGGACGATCGTACTCGCAAAGATACGATCGAAGCACGAGAAAGTGATGCAATACTTGCAGCACAAATGTTGCAATCAGCTGTCTTTCGGGAGTTGCATGGTAAGCTTTGCAAATGCAGCTTTGAATGTGACAGTGATATCGGCTGTCGCCACTGCATCCGTTCCGACCTGAATGCCCTGCCAGGACATATGCCGTCCCAGCAGCGTAACGCATCCGCTGAGATAGCATGGATTGCTGACACTGGTAGTGCACAGGACTTAGTTTGCAGCAAGATGATTCCCGATGACATCGTGTATCACTCTCATGAACCCCTTGAATTAATCACTGCAAATGGTTCTCAATCAGCTGACCAACAAGCTTCTGTTCACATTGATTGCATCGACAAAGAAGTTCATCCATATGTTCTTCCTGATACCCCGGCTGTAATATCGGTAGGGATGAGATGTATTCAAGATGGATGGGATTTTGTTTGGAAAAGCTTTAGTCGCCCATATTTCAAGAAGAAAGATGGAACTAAGATCAAACTTGAAGTCAAAGATTTTGTTCCTTATCTACCATCCAGAGATGGCCAGGTACCCGCTGCAGTAGGGATTCCGTTTTCATGGAACTCCGCTGCCGGGAACGGCAAGCCCATCATCTCACCTGTTCGAAGGTCTCGGATGTCAGCCGTCGGTGCCGAGTCCGATGATGAAGTCGAGGAGGTCGAAGTACCTTACGAGGCTTCCATCGCTGATGGCGATGAAATTCCCGGACAAGCTATCGACGACCTCGAAGAATTCTTTCCTGGTGAACTTGCACCCGGACCGCCAGCAGCCATGACACCAGACGTTGTCGAAGGTTCGGAAGATGAAGCCGAAGCTCCTGAAGAACCAGTTGACGGTCGACTTCAGTTGCCTGAACCAAAGGCGATTGATCGTGGTGAAGCTGCACTTCGAGAAGAGGCCAGGACCCTTAGGCACATGATGACACATACCCCAAAGAATCCCTTTTGTGAAACATGCAAATGTGCAAAGATGTACAAACCTACTAAACGTAGCAAAGGGGAATCTCTGACTGTGGAATCCAACAAGTTTGGGGATCACATCACTGGGGATCATCTTGTGACTAGGGATGCCAACGAACAGTCAATTGATGGTGACAGGGTTGCTATGGTCATGAAAGATGTCGCTACGAATTTTCGTTGGATCTATCCTTCAGCTAGAAGTCATGCCAAGGATTGTGTTTTAGCTTTTAGGCATTTCATTGCACCTGGTGAAGAAGTCGGAGTGTTTTATTCCGATGCAGCGCCATCCATCAAGCTCGCTTGTCGGGAAGTTGGGTGGAGACAGAACACTAGTGTTGCTTATGTCTCTAAGTCGAACGCAGTCGCCGAGAGGAATCTCAGGTCCGTACTCGAAGGGACTAGAGTAAACCTTGAACAGGCAGGGCTTCACCATTCTTATTGGAGTTATGCTGCACGACACTGGTGTATGGCACACAACATCCAGGACCACCCTGAAATCTTATCTCCGTGGGAGCTTCGTTTTGGGGAAAAGTTCAAGGGACCCAACATTCCTTTTGGGGCTCGCATTGACTACTGGACTGGTCCGAAACTTAAACCCAAGAAAGATTTACGTTTTGACCCAACTTCAAATCCAGGTGTCTTTTTGGGATATGCCATGCAACCAGGTTTCGTTTGGAGAAATGAATTTCTTGTAGCATCATTGAAGGACCTTATGGAGAAGGAATTCAACGAATCAGTTCAAGTTGTGCGTGTCAACCAACTCACTGTACCTGATGGACCGTTCGTTTATCCTTTGAAAGGTAGATATAAGGCCATTAGGGAAGGTTTATATGAATCTCTTAGCCTTGATGCTCCACCAGATCCGAAGAAGATGGACGCTCAAACCATTGAAGACTTGGTTGCTCCAAGGAAAACTGTTGAGCCAGGACCGGTGGAGGGCGAAGAGGAGTTCGAACAGTTGATGCGTGAAGCTGGACTTGAGTCTGATGACATCGAAGTGATTGACCCCAAGACTGGAAAATCAGAATTTATCTCAAAGGATGACCCTTCATACTACGATGCTAGTGGTTTTAAGGGAAGACGATATAAGGGTTCCTCCAAACCAAAGGACATTCCAACATTTCTTTGGC